CACCGGCACACACCACACCACACACACCCACCGGCACACACACACACCACACACACACCACCGGCACACACCACACACACACACACCACCGGCACACACCACACACACACACACACCCCACCGGCACACACCACACACACACCACCGGCACACACACACACACCACACACACCCCACCGGCACACACACCCCCCGGCACACACACACACCACCGGCACACACCCCACTGGCACACACACACCACCGGCACACACCACACACACACCACCGGCACACACACACACACACCACCGGCACACACCACACACACACACCACCGGCACACACCACACACACACACCACCGGCACACACCACACACACACACACACCACCGGCACACACCACACCCGCACACACACACACCGACATACACACCCCACCGGCACACACACACACCGGCTCACACACATACACACCCCACCGGCAAACACACACACACACCCCCACCGACACACACACACACACCCCCACCGGCACACACACCACCTACACCCCCACCCCCACCGACACACACACACACACCACCTACACACACACCCGCACCGACACACACACACACCACCGACACACATATTCCGCAGTGGGTTTTAGTACAATATGAATGACCGCTCAGATTTGGAATAACACTGTATTGTCGCAGAGCTTCAGTTGATCCATCAGCTCCGCAGCAGAAGGTAACGTGTCAACGCTCTCGCTGGAAGCTCACCCCCCCACCCCCCTCCACACCACCCCCCCACCCCACCACCCCCCCTCCCCACCAACCCCCCACCCCCACCCCCCCCTCCACACCAACCCCCCACCCCACCACCCCCCTCCCCACCAACCCCCCCCCCCCCCCCCCCACCACCCCCCCTCCCCACCACCCCCCACCCCCCACCCCACCACCCTCCCACCAACCCCCCACCCCCAGACCAGGCAGTGGCCCTCCCTGTGGGAAGCGAGATGGTCTTTCCAGGCACCTTGATGGCACCTTAAACACGATCCAATCCTCCCCCCACCCACCGCCACCCCCTTTCCTGAAGCATCGTAAACGGCAACGATCAAACACAACCCCTGGAAGGCGAACAAATGGTTAAAAGGCGCTCTAAATGGCCCCAGTGAGAGGCAATCTTCTCCCCACTATAACCACCCCCCCCCACCCCACCCCCCCCCAATAACTTGTCCCCCACACCCAACGCAACCTCTTCGTATAAGCTTTGCCAACCATTTGTTCCCAGTCAATAGAATAGTTCTCCAACACACACACACACCAAATAAAAGTCCACCCAAACCAAAACTGGGCACCAATAACTAGTTATTCCAACGAGTTATTTCCCCAACTACCCCTGGGTGGTGGTGGTGGTGGTGTTGGTGGGAGGGGGGGGGGGGGGGGTATTTATCTCGAAAATACATCCACAACCAACCAACCACACGCTGATAAACATTTCCGATCCATGCAAATCTCTTGAGAGAGAAAGAGAGAGACTCGAGAGTTTTCACTGACCACTAAACTTTCACCCCATGTAGCTTCTTCCCATGCAAAGCGGTTGCAGCTTACATTGTAATGTCCCCCCCCCCCCCCCCCCCCACACACACACACACACATACCCATTTCCGAGGCTCGGACTCTCTATTTTTTTATTTAAAACAACAGAGAATCGTTCCGATGGTCAGAGCTTTCCGACAATTCTTTTCTCAACGTATTTCCTCAACGAAGAGAGAAAAAAAAATCAGGTAACACACACCAAGTCTGAGCCCCTGGATCAATGGTCAAACTATTTCAGGTTGTAAGCTTCTCTCTCTCTCTCTCCCACCCCACACACCCCTCTCTCTCTCCCACCCCAACCCCCCCCCCCCCCTCTCTCTCTCTCTCTCCCTCTTAAACCCCCCCCAAAAAAGAATATACACAAAAGTCCTTAGTTTACCCTCCAAACCCCTTACAAAACTCCAGAAAGGAACCGATCCACAAACCTCCCCCCCCCAACAAAAAACTAAAACGTGACACCAAACCAGACAGGTTCCATTAACTCTTGCCAAGTTTGTGTGTGTTTTAAATCTAAAGAAAATGCCCCAGATTTTTACCGATGGCTGAGATTACAAGTTTATATAACGCACCGTTCAAGTACACCCCCTACCCCCCAAAAAAATAAATATGTTTGGAGCATTTAATCGCAGGGAGGGAGGTAGGAGGGAGAGGTTGGGGTGTGGGGGGGGGGGGGGGGGGGGACACACTGATGTTTAAATGCATCTGGAACATTTAGATTGATTCTCTCTCTCTCTGTATCCCAAAATCTGTTGACACTCGATAGGTGACTGAATAAGGGAGAGAGAGAGAGAGAGAGAGAGCTGTAGTCTGGTCGCCCCTCTTTCTCTCTCTTTTCCCCCTTTTTTTTTCCCCCAAACTGCGAGATCGCTGTCGACTGCGGAATCTCCGCAAATGTAGAGAGCAACTCTGAAAAAGAGACGGGGCTCACCCCTACCTTCAACGGCCACAGTCAGCGGGAAGAAGAAGTACAAAAGCACCAGGATATCCATAATGTGTGTTGAGAGTGTCTCTCTCTCTCTCTCTCTCTCTGTTGCTTTGCTCCTTCGGTCTTTGCCTTCTATCTCTCTCTCTCTCTCTCTCCTCGTCCCGTCTTATCCCAATGCTCAGCTGCCACTTACTCCCTCTCCCTCTCCCTCCCTCTCGCTCTGGCACCTCGACAGGACTCAGGGAGTTGAATGAAGTGCGATGCGGCTTGCTGGGAAAGCGAGTTGTGCTGTCAGTCATGGGGGTGGGGGGAGGGAGGGAGAGAGAAGGGAGGGAGTGAGAGAGAGAGAGAGAGAGAGAGAGATGGAGGGAGGGAGGGAGGGAGGCAGTCAGTCCGCCCACCGGCTCAGGGATCTCAGTGCTCCAACCAGAGAGAGTGGTACCAAGAACCGTCTGTGTGCACTGAGCGCCCCCGAGCGACCGCCAGTGCCCATCACCTCTTACCTCTTTCTGTCTCTCTCTCTTTTCTCTCTCTCTCTCTCTCTCTCACACACTCTCTCCATCTCCGCGCAACAGAGGGAAAAAAAAACGCATTTGCCAAATCCATTTTTTTTTGCGCACAGACAGACACACACACACACACACACACACTGGAAAATACCGATGCAGAGCTGCTCTGTTTGATGGTGATTGGATTCACCGAATGTCAAGCTATCTTTTGGGGAGAGGGAGGAGGGTGATGGCGGAGAGGTTTACAAAGATAACCCTTAAGACACAGTGAAACGCATTGCAACCCCCTTCCCCCCCAAAAAAAATCAGGTCGATTTACAATGAGTACAGTGCCTCTTGTGAAAGCCAAACAACTGCTCCTTAGACAGCATTTGAAAATGTCCTCTTTTCTTGGGCTGTTTGCCTCTCTGTTTTTTTTGGGGGGGGGGGTAGAGAGAGAGGAGAAGTACATTTCATTGTTGTAAAAAAAATCTACATCTACCAATTTTAAGGAAACACCAGTATTGTTCTCAAAAACTACTCAATCCCACAGCGATCAGACGAGAGAGGCGAAGAGAGAGAAAGAGAAAGAGAAAGAGAAAGAGTGAGAACAGTGGAAATTGTGCTAAAAAAAAAGGATTCCGTAAAGGAAACAAAAACTGGTTGAACTATTTTCTATTTGACTATTTTCGACTTTCAGGTCGATTCTAGTTTTCGTTTCAGAAAGGCGGCATCATATAAATTAACTTTTATGCACAGTCGATATAACTCAAATAGTTCTGCACTGACTCGCGTTCTGTACCGACACAACGCAGTTTCAGTGATTAATTTTCGGTGCGGTTCTGTTAACGCTGAAAATGTAATGCCCATAAATTGGACTCTATGGACACTTGGAGACTGAGTTGCAACTCCTTTCCAGTTCATAACACGTCGCCTGACACTGCAACTTGGCCGAAAGCGACCCAAATTATTTTTTTTTAAAAAACCACAGGTACGAGTCAGTGCTTTTCACTCGACAGAATAAAAGACACAGGACTAGGGTTAGTTTCTGTCTAAGCGGTGGAAATATTTTTTTTTTGGGGGGGGGGGGGGGTGTGGGAGGGAGAACGAATTCATACTCTAATTAACCCTGTCCAAAGTCCCCACAAATTATGTTTGCAACAAGCAGGACTATCCCGTTGGTGGGGGAAATAATCGTCCAGGATTCATTTTATTCCCACGCCAAACAAATGCAGAAATGGGATTATAGTCCTCGCAAACTGTACACAACACTCGCTCTTGGTCTCACTATAATCTCTAGTGCCAGATATAAAAATATTCTCCCACCCCCACCCCCATACCCAGTTCTAATGTATTATTACATTTTATTAATTAACAGGCATGTTTATAACTTAATGATATTCAGTGAGCAGTGGCTCACATTCAGAATTATCATCTATTCGCAATGCAACTCAGTGATATTTTAAAGCAACGTTTCAGAAATGAAGTGCAGGCATTTACAGTATATTGTTATAGATTAATGTATATTTTGTGTTCCAGATTATCTACGCACATTCACCCCCACACAGACCTATGTTGCAATAAAGGAAGTAATATTTTAACATTGCTTGTCTGCAGCCTATGATCTCACGACTGTAACAGACTGTGGTTTCTGTGTTGATAGGTGTAGGAAGGTATCAGACAGGTGAGCAACAGCCTGACAGTGACTGACTTGACTGACTGCCTGAAACCATAAAGGCTGAGTCACCTGAGAGCGGACATTTCAATCCATGACTCAATTTACCAACTAAACTCGTCACTTTATCACTTCGTCTCTCTCTCTGTCTCTCTCTCTCTCCCTTCGGGTCATTTCTTTGGAATATACATGTAGGCAAGTCATTGGGAAGCAAACCAGGATGTTGCAACACTTTTACATCACAGTCGCTTTAAAGACGGTTCAGGGTTTGTTTTAAAAAAAACACAGAAAACTGTATGTATGTATTGCAGTATATTTGTGAAGCGCAGTTAATGTTTGACGTTTTCTCGCCGACAGTGTGCAAATCCCCCCATGATTGAGAGTGAGGAGGAGAGGAGAGGGGTGTGGGGAATAAATCAAACGTAGATTTCCTCGGTATGGTTTTTATTTCTAAGCAAAAAAATTTTTCTCTCTTTTCTCTCTCTCTCTTTCTGTTTCCTCTTTTGCTTTGTCGGTGGACCGGTCGCAAACCATGTGTTTTTAAAGAGTCTTAGCTGGGAAACGTAAAACTAAGCAACTTCTGAAAAAAAACACAACTTTCCGGGGTGGGGGTGGGGGGGAATTAGTTGAGAGAGATGTGAGTGAGTACGAGGGAGTTAATACCATCTGCGAATTTGATGATACATTTAGGCACAGTCATTCTGAACAGCCAGAAATTTCACCCCAGCACTCTCTCATCTCTCTCTCTCTCTCTCTCCTCACAAAAATATCACACCTCACTGTATATCTGCAGTAAATATATATTAATGTACTTAACCCGACCGCCAGTGAACACTTCACTTATTATAACGAGTCAGCCATCCGCTCACTGGCTCAGGGAGTGAATGTCATTCGGGGATGAAGTGAAAGTTAATTAATTTAGCAGCCTGTCTGGTTAGGAGAGAGACTGATACAACTTGCATCAGCATCTTTTTACTCATTGCGAGAAAATGCTCTTCTCGAGGGACACACACGTACACATACACACACACACACACACACACACACATATATATATATATGATTAAAACAAACTCTCTTTCATCGGCCAACCTTACTTAAACCCTCCTCGCAATTGTCTAATTTCACTAATGGGATACAAATGCAATGAAGAGGGTTAAGGGGATAATCCACTTTAAGATTGAAAAAAAAATCCACTTTAAGATTAAAATTAAGATGCGAGTTGTGGGGGTGCAAACATGTGCGCTTTGGTTTTCGCTTTTACAATAAAAAAAACATGTGGTGTCGAGCTTTCAGTCACTGAATTCTGGAGGAGAACAAAGAAAATGTTATAGCCATTACCCCGAATGAAGAGGGTGATGGTGGGGTGGGGGCGGGGGGGGGGGGGGAGATTGGATGATTCGCCTATCACGAATGTGTGTACAAATGCAAAGAGTATTAATAGTCCAGTGAGGGTCTGTCGAGCTGTTGTCTGGACCTCTGTAGGAAAATTAATTATGCATTTCTCTCTGCTTTTTTTTGGGGGGGGGGGGGGAGAACCGGACACAAATTGACTCAAATGTTTGTGTTAATATTTCAATTCGCAGTTTGCGAGATAATCACCAAAAAAAAACAATGCAAAGGGATTAAAGTGGGAGAAATGAACAACGAGAACCCTCGTCTCTAAGACTCGGGTTTGTTCGGTGTGTGACATAAAACCAAACAAGTTAAAGTTAAAGTAATTTCCCCCCCCCTCTTGCCATTCATTTTTTTTCCCCCTCGAACGCCACCAATTCTATGGATGGAGGGAAAAAAAGCTTCAATATTCCTTCTCGGGATGAACCGGTCTGTGGAAGCGGAGCAACTGCGTTAAACTAAACTTGTCCATCACTGCACTCCAATAAAACACTGTAAGTTCATCAGCAGCTGCACTATTTCGCTGCAGACACATGGATTAAGGCAGCAAATCAGCAACTAATTTTATTATCGAAGCAAATTCCGCCCCCAATAATTTCCAGTACACGTTATCTCCATTTTACAGTAAACTCCGTTTTTTTAATTTACAATTAATTCCCACTAAGAAATTTCAGGTGCTTCACTGATGTCAGTTATCTACACAGAATTGGGCTTTTCTTTTGGCTTTTTATTCATTCCTACGCGCGTACTATATATGTCGGGACGTCCTAATAACTTTTTCTCACTCTTATCAATCAGATACGTCGGATTTAAAGCGGTTTAAAGCGCTCCGGGTGCAATTTAAATGGTAGACAAGTGCTTTGTTGCTAAGTCGAGAGGTCGATAACGATTCATAAACAGAGGATAAAGGGCCACTGGAGCTCTTGCAATTTCAACCAACAAACACACAAATACACAGACACGAGGTAAAGGATATTTCCAGAAATGTTGTGCTATTCGTTTCATTCTTTGAGTCGCAAAAATAGGTGCATTTCCCACGAACTGAGCCGAAGCCTCCAAAGTTGGTTCAATAATAAACCGTTTGCGCCACCTACGGATCAATTTATTCCTCGCACCAACTAAATAATAACGATTACATTTTTTTAATGTCGCGCTTTTCACGTCGGGAGGACATTTCGAAATACTTTCGTGCTGTAAAGTGTAGTGACTGTGTGTATTGCAGTCCTCCCGAGGTGAAAGGCACTATATAAACAACAACAACAACAAAATTACATCTGTACCGCGCCTTTCGCGTCGGGAGGACGTCCCAAGGCGCTGGGCAGACAGTTTCGGAACCCGAGCTGGGGGGCCGGGTAGGTGGGGGAGGGCGGGAGGGTGCGGGTGGGTGTGGGGGGAAGCAGGGAGATCAAAAGCACGGTCGAAGAGGAGGGTCTTGAAATGGGTCTTGAAGCTGGCGAGGGAGGGGCTGAGGCGGAGGGACTGTGGGGACTGTGGAGTTCCAGAGGGTGGGAGCAGAGTGGCGGAAGGTCCACCCACCTATAGCGGGGGGAGCAAGGCAGGGGAATGTGAAGCAGGCCGAAGCCCGCTGAACGGAGGGAGCGAGCAGGATGGTAGGGGGTTAGGAGGTCGGAGAGGTGGGGGGACCAAGACTATGGAGGGCTGTGAAGGTGAGGA